CGTTTGAGCCCTTCTGGACGCCGTTTGATCTCTCGGATCAGCAGGTTGATCGGCCCGTAGACGTCGTTGGTCTGGATGTTGCGAACAATGGTGTTGAGGAGAGTGCGGCTCTCCTGGTGGTCTGTTGGCCCCAGAGTTCCCCTCTTCTCCACTGGAAGCACAAACACCAAAGCATCAGAGAGTCTGCTGAAATATTCTTTTAGCAAAGAGCCTCCACTCTGATCTGTTCTGCTCAGCAGTGACACTTTAACAAAAATACCCCTCAATCTCCTAATACATGCACCGAAGGTATCAATTTCAAAATCCCTTGTTGTCTCGCTCCCAAGTTATTGGATTCACAAGATTTTCAGAAAATTTCATTTCAAGGTCACTGAGGTTCAAACTTGAGATGTTTAGTAGATACACGTATATTTCTACGTCCTTTTGCTCTTTTACTTTCCCATTCACAAAACTCCATTTGACTTGTTTTGGGGGGTTTTGAAATCAGTACATACCTTCTTTCTTAGTGTGAACTAACATATGTTTGCTTGAGGTTTAAAGGCTGAACACTTGCGCCCCCCAGTGGTCATTATGCAGTATAGCTCACCCCAATAATCTGAAAGCTCACAATTCAATCTGCAAATACAGGCTCTACACTTGACACTATACTGATGGACAATAACTGATAATGTCTGTCGTCACACTTACAAAAGGTCCTCCAGAGCAGGTAAAGTGGTTCTCCGGGTTCTTTGTGCAGGTTGATGTTGTCCCACAGGAGCTGTACGTACACCTGCTTACTGTCCTGTGGCAGTGACGTCAGAGGCAGCTGCAAGAATAAACCATGACATTATAGCACAGCTTACATGGTGCTCGCTAATTACAGGACATCCTCTGTAAAGGAATGAGTTTGCTGTGTTGGGTCTAGATGACTGAAGCCTTCTTATAGGTGGTGTGCACATCACTGCTGGCTTCAGTCTATTCCAGTCACTGCATTTCATCTTTTATGTGTGAGTCAGTTTCATATAAACATTCCTCACAGCTTCATTTACACATAGTCCTCTACTGTATGCCCACCTGATTGGACAGTACAAAAAAGTGAGGTGTGACAGATGTGATGTCACAGTTTTCTTACAACAACAAGGAATATGAAGATGAGAGCGATCCAGGAGATTTTTTGTTTGTCTTTAAAAACAGTAAAAAAGCAGCACACCACCAATGTTCTGAAACTAATCTACACTCTGGTCTAAAAGTTCCTAGTTCAAGTTCCTGTGGACAGTAGTAATGGATTGGATTTATATAGCACTTTACAATGTCTAACCTGCACTCCGTTGTTGCAGTGTTCAGAAGTGAGGATGAGACCGGGCAGGTGAGAGGGCAGGTCCAGGCGGCGGAAATACCACACCAGGTTCCAGAAAATGATTGGGTGCTGGCTGAGGAACTTGTGGGTGTAGATCACCTGGACAGATAAACCACAAAGTGTAACTCAAAGGATCTTGAATCTGCTGGCTGACACTTGCTATACACATCAAACGCGAGAGAATGTCTTTATATTTATACCTGATCTCCCTCATTCTCCAGCAAGGTTTCCAGCTCCTTGCGCAGTACCAAAGGGCTGAGGTACGGCACAGACACTGGTTTGGGATTTGGCCGCTTTGTCCCCATGCCGTCCTGTAAACACACAGAATTCCACTCATTGACTCCATGAGGGTAAAAGCACTACTGTCAGTGAAGACTTGGAACAGAAAGGAGGCACTGACTTGCACTTCCTGCAAACTGCAGGGAAGGCTGGTGGTGGAGACGCCATGTCCAGGTCTCTGAGAATAGTCCAGGCTTTGCAGAGGTCCTCCAACACTGTTGCTACGTGTCAAAGATGTCCCGGTGCCTTTCTGCTGCTTACATGCTGCCTGGTGCTCCAGGAGACCCAGGGGGTCCGACTGCACCGGCTCTGGAATCAAACTGGAAACAACAATTCAGTTATTTATATAGCACCAAAACATTAGCATTATATAGCACTTTATATTATAAGGTAAGGACCTTACAATAATGCAATGATCCACAACAACAATTATTATTTTTGTTATTAAAGTTTATTCCAATAACTTTTTGTTCTCAGTCACCAAGTAAAAGGCACCAAGAGCATATTAGAAGATCTATGCTGCCATCTAGTGGTAGTTTCTAACACTAGATGGCATTTACTATGAAAACACTAGTAAGGCGGTGCTGAAGATTTAAACAAACATGCAAATACATCTCCTCGTGCATGCAACCTGAGGTGCATACAGGGTACTCAGATGAAATTGTACCTCTTCTGTGCTCCTGGAGTATTTTCAGCGGTCTCCCTCGGTTCATCTTCAGCGAAAGTGATAAGGTCTGGTGTCTTAATGTCAGCCGCGCTGCTAGCTGTGGGGTG